TAGGTATATCTTCGTTAGGAGTTTTCGGGATACCTGTAATTTCAACGTATTGATTTAGAGAAGCTTGTTCTTTGTTATTTAACATAATTTTGAGGTAATCAATTTCTTTTTCAAGTTTAGAGCATCTACCTATGTTCTTTTTCCATTACCATATTTTCCATACCATTAATGATGTTTACAACAGTGTCCATTTTCTTTTTGATTTCATCAAATGATTCTCCAAAGAAATTTAATGAACTTTTCATTGATGCGACGTTAGTAGTAAGTACTTCGATTTTTCTGAACATTTTTTTCATATCAATTTTTACTGACCCWAAATCATAATCGTCCTCATCATTCTGGCTTGAATTTTAATTTTATTCAATTTCTTTCTTTTCGTAATATTTTTATAATTATAATTATAATATTCACAAGTCCATTTAGTACTAATCTTATTATATTCAACGAGCGATTCAAGATTTGTACATTTCACATGAAAATCAAAATCACAACTTTTACAAGTTACGGTTTTCTTAGTTGATATTATGTTAACATTAAATTTAGCACACGGCATACTAATACAAATGTACGACAAACACACTACAACACACAACCGGCTTCGACGAGAGATAGATAAGAACTCAATGAATTATGAATGATTCAATGATTGAGATTAAAAAACGAGTTTAAAATTCCCTACTAGAATTATAACAAATTTAAAATATTTAATGTAGTACTTCCAACACTAGATATTGTACAATTATTCTGTTAATAAAAAAATATGTTTTCAAAATTAAAAGTATTATAAAAGAAATTATCAAGTATCCAATGTGTGATAACTGATAATATATACAAATATTTTATTGTAAAATAAATATAATGGAGAAAATAGAACTTGTATCTTGGAACAGTATTACAATCAAAATATCTACACATCAGTCAATAATAAATTGAGATTATTTATAGAAATTTATGAATATCAGTATTTCAAATTCTGATAGAACAATGAATAATCGTTTTGCAGAA